TCCATGATGGTATTATCAGTATGATCCGGTTATTAAGGCTCGGAGAAGACTGAGATAGAACATGATAGCAGTTTTCAGGTATCAAAAAGGGTGTCATAAGGAGGAGGGAGAAAAACTTGTTCACCTTAGCCTCTAAGGATAGAACCAGAAGCAATGGGTTTAAACTGCAGCAAGGGAGGTCTAGGTTGGACATTAGGAAAAAGTTCCTAACTGTCAGGGTGGTTAAACACTGGAATAAATTGCCTAGGGAGGTTGTGAAATCTCCATCTCTTGAGATATTTAAGGGTAGGTTAGATAAATGTCTATCAGGGATGGTCTAGATGGTATTTGGTCCTGCCATGCGGGCAGGGGACTGGACTCGATGACCTCTCGAGGTCCCTTCCAGTCCTAGAATCTATGAATCTATGAAATGTGAACACACTGAGTAGGACCTTTACTACCTGGACCACTGGTCTGATCTGGAACAGTACAACTGATACTGTGGTATGTTACCACTAGATGGTATGACTAATATAACCTGTATTTCAGTGTAACAAATGTTACTATAAGCTTTAGTTTTTTCTCAGTGTTACATTGTTTAATGCTTTTTAGCTTTTTGTTTTTGAATTTTACCACAGTTTTTTATCAGTCTGATACTTTTTTTTAAATCAGTTTTCATCAAAAATCTGTGGATTGACGTTGTTAGAGGCATTATCTCTAGACATCATGTCTTTAGCTGTTAGCAGTAATCTCCAAGTTACATTACGTGTTCCATTTTACACCAGGTTAAAAGAAAACATGCCTTGCTTGAGGTGGTTTTTCCATGTATATGTTTCTTTTGGTAATTTTGTCATTCTTCCACTCAGTTTTCTCAAACTTTCAGTTATGGAACAAATTGTGAAATTGGCATTAGAAGACTGTATTCTATATCGGTGAAAGGAGTAGAATTGTTTTAAGGAAAATAATCTGACCATATGGCTGCTAGCTACAGCTAAGGGGTTTATGATGACATAATGCAATATGGTTGGCATTTCAGTTTTAGGTTGATTAGTATTTCATAGGCTTTTATAGCACCTGGTTGTGGACCTAAGAATTTTCTGGTCTTCAGATGTCCTGAGGCTGAATTGGAGGTCAATTTTATTAGTTTTAACTTGGCTGTTTAGTTCACAGCTAAACAAACAACCTTAAGATATTGATGCCAAATAAATTGCGTTTCCAGGCAACATCCAATCCTGAAATGTCCACCTACAAAGTGGTGGCATTCTCAGAGTCCTATTCCATGTCTGTTCTGGCACCAAGAAGACTGACTTGGTTGACATAATTTTTACCAAATATAATGCAAATTCTGACTAGACTATTAATCTCCTGTTTTGCCTTCCCAAATCCTCATTGTAGATATAAGTGGTCTTTGAGTATTCATTGCACAGGCTCAGATATTTAGGAAGTTACCTAAATGTGTAGCCTTTGGGATCAGAGTAAGGGGAGTGTCATTTCCACTCAAGAATTATCAAAATGGATTAGATTTTGCACTGAATATGTGATGCCTTGTTTCAGGTGTCAGTACTTCAATTTAGTACTCATTCTTCTAGGGTGAAGGAAACCTTGTCTCTGGAACACTTCCATCATAGCAATCTGCAGGACTGCTATTTGAAGTTCTGTTCAGAATTTTATACAACATTACTCACTCCATTTGTTTGTGGACTTGGATTGCTTTGGAAGGGCAGTTCTATGTTCTTTGTTTAAATAGAACTCATTAATTCATCTCACAAAATATTGTGTTGCTAACTAAACTGTCACCATTGAGAGTATATGGAGGCTACATCAAGGATGAAAAGACATTTATTTGCCTGTAACCAGTTCTTTGGGAGGGAGATTCTGCATATTTACTCTAATCTTCTACCTTCCCCTCTTCCTTTAAGAGCGACACTTTAAGAATGTTGGCCTTCAGTGGATTTGTCTGAGGCCACATAGGGTATGTCTGCAGTGTTTTGGAGCTTGTGGGAGCCAAAGTCTCCCAGCTGGGTTGGACTAGCTGGGCTCACTCTAGTGCTCCAAAATGCTGTGCACAACAATACCCTATGTGGCCCCAGATCCTTCCATTGAAGGGTCCATAGCTGTATCCATCCATCAGTTCCATAGCTGCATAAACAGTGCTTCAAAGTTGTGGCTCAGGCATGAAGCCTAGAAGTGGGGTGGTCTTCAGTTACCTCTACTGAAAACCTTTCCTCTTTTATCTGCTCTTTTATTTGTTGTATTTATGTAGTGCACATGAAATTACTAGATTTGTTTATGGCCTAGGGTTTGATTTACCTGTATCCTTAGTGTATGATATAAATATCAGTATTTTGTTGTCCAGTTCTCTGTAGCTTTAAATTATCTGTGCAAGATAGGTTACATAACTTTTGTTTCTGTCCATGGTTGCTGCACTGGCATTAGCCTTACTAAGGCAATCATCAAAATAAAATCTAAAATGGTTCAGCTCATGGATGCACATGTTTTGGTAAGAACATGGCAGGGAGTAATTATTTGGTAAATGTAACTTTTTTTAATCTAAACATTTTATGGTAGGAATGAGGTATAGTGGTAACCCTCAAACTTTTCAATGTTCGCAGTATTTCTGGCGTGTCCTAAGTATTCTTTATTTTAAGTTTAGAAAATATTGTAAATACTGGAAGGTTTTTCCCCTAGTGAGTCGTTGTTGTCCTGCTAATTTACAAATAAATAAATACACATTTTTTAATAGTGTAAAGTCAAAACATTTTCAGCAAGAGGAGACAGCTAACCTATCTGGAAGACAGAGAAGAAGTGTTTTCTGTGGCTTTCCTTATTTTCTGCTGCCTGGCTGATTTGGCCATTTCCTTCCTCAGTTTGGTGTTTGATAACAGGAAGTGCAAATGAAAGGAGACAGTTTGACTCTTTTAAAATACTGGCAAAATTGAGAAATATAAAAATGAAAGTACAAAAGTATTTTTGCTCTTCCCTTGTCAGTATTCAATCAAGCTTCTTTTAAACACTTGCCAGTTTGGCTTGCTCCCTCTGGTGGCTGATCTACACAGAGAACTTTTGTTCAGTTAGGTAATGGGACGATAAACTTCCAGTGAGCTTTATGGAGTTCTTTGAGGTAAACACTGAAATGACTTTATTTTGATAGTAGCCATGACTCTTAAGTTCCCCAAAACATAGAAATATAGACTTTGAACTACAGGTTTTACTCTGCACATCTCTAGTCAATTGCTTCCAATAGACTTGTGGTGTGGATGCCATACGGGACAGGAGAGGCATCTGTAATGTTTGTCAAACTGTTGTTCACTCATGAAATGATTTCTGTAGCTAAACAGTAGTACAATTTCTTGTTAATTCATGGATTCAAAATGATTGCATATTTTAAAGGCCCTACAGTTATTTTTTTAAATATAAGGTATTTTTATATGCTGTGATGCTGTTGTCAATAGCTGTTGGTAATGGAATTACTTTACTAATTCTAGATTCTGACTTTTTCAGACTGGGCATTTGGCAATGGAGACACTACTGTCTCTCACCTCAAAACGAGCAGGGGACTGGTTTAAAGAAGAGCTGCGACTTCTAGGTGGTCTTGATCATATTGTAGATAAAGGTATGTTGAATATGTTTCGTTTCTGATGCATTGAAAAGTATAAATGAATTAGACATAGATTTATGAGGGGAAGATTTTCCCTTAATTTGTCAGCTTTTCTTAATTTCTATTATCGTAAGAGGAAAGAAAAAATGTGCATCTTCTACTTAAACTTTCAAAAAGTATTAAAATTCCACATCAGATTGTTGGGGAAAATTAATGCCTCATTCAAAGTGTAGCAAGTTGCATTGAAAACAGATTGAATTCTAAATAGATAATGGGGGTGTGGTGTTATTTCAGCTGGATAATAGGATACCAGTTGGGCAACTTAGGAGTTTGGGTTTTGAGGAGTTGTCTTACTTATATACCATGTCTGGGTATTAGAATTCTGTTACTTCACAAAGCACCAGCGATACCCCATTCTAGAATACTGTCTCCTATTCCGGACACATTTTCTTTCCGAGACAGTCCAAAGAAAGCTAGCTCTTCAGGAAGACTTGAGTTTGAGCTCCTTTAAGATATTTGTAGGTGCACTTTGCTCAAAGTGTGGTGAAAATATGGGAAGGAAGGCCTGTGTTGAAACAAATATCAATGAGTTGGAGAAGGCTAGCTCTTGAAATTGAGTAAAATAAAGTAAAAAAGCAATGAGGTGGTGCTGAGAATTTTGAGATGCAAACTTGCTAACTCCTTATGTCTCTTTGGTTTCACTTCAAAAGGTTTGTATTGTACATTGTTAGATATCTCTGCTTCTTTAATAGTATAAAATGTGCTGAATAATCTACAGTTCTGTGCCATAGGAGTTTGCTGCAGAATCTCTTGTTGATCAATAGAAAAATAAACTTTTTTTTTCTCCTCTTGACAAACCTATTTAAGTGTTTTCCATCTTTTAAATAGTAGTATTCACATCATTATGGTTTGGCAGCTGATGTTTTGTGTTACTTTGGCATACATAAAATGTCTGAGACCATACTAAAAATATTTCTTTAAAAATAATTTCTTTAAAAAAAGTTTCTTTAAAAAATTACTGTGATAAATAGAACTTTTTAAAAATAGTATTTTTGAAATACTAATTCATTTTATGATCATCACACTCCTGTTAATAAAGCAACTTTGTAAAAGTGTGACAAATAGGGTTGATGAGGTATTGGGAGAATTGTTATTACTGTATGCATTGCTCTTTGTACTTTTACAAGTACAGGTCTCAGAAAGACCTCTTTAATGCTGCTCTCTTTATTACTTAGTCAAAGAATGTGTGGATCACTTAAGCAGTGACGAAAATGAAGAGAAATTGGTTGCTTCGTTATGGGGAGCAGAAAGATGTTTACGGGTCTTAGAAAGTGTAAGTATGAGCAGATATACTGTCTTCCTGATGGGATAATTGATTAATTTTTTTCTGCTGCATTATTGCATAGAGTTCCCCTGTTTATGATACCAGAGATGGTTTGTGTTAGACTTGGTCTGCAAAATGAGATGGTGGGGTTCTGTATGACCTAACCGAGATGGGCATTCTGTGGTGTTCTGTAGGGCCAGGTACAAGATAAAATCATAGGAAAATACTGTCACAAAAATGGTAAAAATGCACATGGAGAATGAGGTTTTCAAGTGGCAAGTTCAGTCTTGCCTTCTGACTGATTTTTGTAAATATTGATGAAGAAATATAATAGTGAGTAAAGAAGAGAAATATTGTGTGTTCACTGTTCCTTCCCTCTTCCAACAAAAGGTTAATCCTAATACTGGTTTTTTTTTTTCCTTTTTAGGTAACCGTGCATAACCCAGAGAATCAAAGCTACTTGATAGCATATAAAGACTCTCAGCTCATAGTCTCATCAGCTAAGTAAGTTCTCATAAAATGATATTTCAGGCTTTCTTGTACGTGGTATGACAAAAATAAAAACGGGCCATGGCTACAATGTATACTTATTCCCCTAGAATTTCCGAATATTGCTACAACCTGTGGAACTGAAATGGTGGTAGCTAAGTGAATATAGTCAAAATACTATCACTTGCCTGGAGCGCTCTCTCTACACTAGTGCTCGCATGGTGGGAAATTGAATGTTAAAATAGTTTAGAATAAAACTCTTATGTTGCTACTATTTCTCTTAATAAGAAAAGTAGTAAATATGTGCCAAATTCCTTTCTGTGCCAAGACTTTTTCTGGGAATATGAGGTGTGGACCATTAGGAAGCTTGTGCTGGTTACCTGATTTGCAAGCTGCCTGGGTTCTGATACAAGTGAGAGAAGCTGGCTATGTTCCAAAGGGGACAATATACCAGCTTAGAATTGGCATAGTGGAATTCTGTTCTTCTCTACACTTTGCCATCTGTGGAATATGGAGGAATTCTCAACTGGCCAGTTGCTACTAGATTGTATCCCTTTCATGACACTCGGAGGGTGCAAAGGAGATAAAACTGGGCTGAGAATCTGACCCTAACTAGCCAATGGGAAGCATACTTTGGTATTAGTATCTCAAGCATGGTTGGCAGGTAAATCAGATAGATATCTTGAGTGAGTGCTTTAAAAAAAAAAATCTGCTATGTAGTGTTATATTTAGACCTTTGTGTGTTTGTGATCAGTTCCTGGTTCTCAACTGCATTTTCCCAATTATCTGTAACTCTGCTGAAATTCATTAAATTATATGTTATGCTACATAAACTTGATCTAAAGTAAAGAATCAAGCTCATAGTCTAGGGTTGTCGTTAAGTGTATTGTATCTTGGTGGAAAGTCAGTTGGCATTTACTTCATTATTGTGAAATGGAGGTAATTAACTCTGGCAAGTACAGAATAAAAAATCAATTTTAGAGTACATTTAGATAATATAGAACACATTTTGCATAGACATCACATTTATATAATTTTCTTCATCATGCACATATAATGAAAGATAAAATGCCCTAGTACTGTTAGTTACTTAATTATGTCTTATCTGCGTTTTCCATCTTCAGAGCATTGCAGCATTGTGAGGAATTGATTCAGCGATATAACCGTGCTGAAGACAGCATCTGTTTACCATACAGCAAGCCTTTGCCTCACCAGAATGTAACTAACCATGTGGGTAAAGCAGTGGAAGATTGCATGAGGGCCATCATTGGTGTCTTGCTTAACTTAACAAATGATAATGGTAAGTGATCTTTCCAGAGCTTGCACTTGTATATCAAACAGTATAAGGTAGGCCATTCCTACCAACCGTGTTTAGCCTCCTAAGTTCTATAGTAATTTGCTCGTGTATGTTGGATCTTAGCAATACAGTGACCAGTAATTGTCACCAGAAATTGGATGGGGACTGGGAAATAGATTGTTTCTAAGAGAAATGTCTTGGACAAAGGATGCTAATTGGTTTTTAGAAAAGATTTGTTTTATTAATGTTTGCATGATATTAAAAAAATTGTTTACAAATTTAGAAGCTTGACCCCATTTTTTTTTTTTTTTTTTTTTTTT